ATTGGGCCTGTAGCATGCTGGGATGAAGGACTACCATGTTAGTTCAAATGAATGACCTTGATCCACTTTCAACCTAATGTCCTTGTTCGACAATCAAGGTCAGAGGCGTCATATGTTTAAATCTTTTAATAGGTTCTTATGAAATCTTAAGATTACAAGTGTTAGATTAATAACAGGTGAGCGATGCAGGCCCATTGTGCCTCTTGTTGAGTTTACATTACGCCCAAAAAATCTCATTTCAAGATCCATGTAAGTCAATTTTTCTGTGTTGATTAAACACCCACCATTCAAAATCTCTCTCCAAAGATGATGATGATGTAAACAAAGTCATCAGTCCACAAAAACTCATAATGCTTTTAATGTTAATTGGTTCTCTATTCAAGTGATGTGGTATAAATATGAAGACGAATAGTCTATTAAAACACTTGTAATCATTCAATTATATAAAACAAATTTTCAACTGGATTTTCTTGGGGGAAGGAGTATCATGTTAGTGTAAATGAGTTTGAATTAGACATTCTTTGAAGATCACAGCAGTTAATACCAGGTGATTGACACAGACCCTTTGGGCCTGTTGCATTATTAAAGGGCTGGAGAAATGGAACCTGAGGTAGTATCATTGTTTCTTTTTCTGAAATGAATTGTTTTCTTTTTCAGGATATGACAAATAGCAAACCAACAATAGTTGAACGTGGAAACATACATGAAGGAAAAGTAAGTAAAAAATGGCATTTTGGAGTTGTTGGATTTGTAGTTGGGGTGAAGTGTTTTTTTTTAAACATAACTTCAATGATAATCAAAACTATTAACATCTTAACATTAATCAATGATAAGACCACCCATGGAAATAATTCTAAGATGAAAGCACTATTCAGGACATTCATAATTATTGGAGAACAAGTCTGTTTTGGGAAAACATAAGAGTTAATATTTAGATTGTGAAACAAATGTTGAGCTCAGGTTCTTATCAACTAAGAAAATAATGCATCACCAACCATGAATTATTTATTATCCAGTGAATTACCACCAATCTGTTGTTTGTCTGTTGATATTGTCTAATGAATCTCTTCCCATCCATTGTCTGATGAATCTCTTCCCATTCATTGTCTAATGAATCTCTTCCCATTCATTGTCAAATAAATCTCTTCCCATTCATTGTCTGCTGAATCTCTTCCCATTAATTGTCTGATGAATCTCTTCCCATCCATTGTCTGATTAATCTCTTCCCATTCATTGTCTAATGAATCTCTTCCCATTCATTGTCTAATGAATCTCTTCCCATTCATTGTCTAATGACTCTCTTCCCATTCATTGTCTGCTGAATCTCTTCCCATTAATTGTCTGATGAATCTCTTCCCATCCATTGTCTGATTAATCTCTTCCCATTCATTGTCTGCTGAATCTCTTCCCATTCATTGCCTGATGAATTTCTATCCATTCATTGTCTGATGAATCTTTTCCCATTCATTGCCTGATGAATTTCTATCCATTCATTGTCTGATGAATCTTTTCCCATTCATTGTCTGATGAATCTTTTCCCATTCATTGTCTGATGAATCTTTTCCCATTCATTGTCTGATGAATCTGTTCCCATTCATTGTCTAATGACTCTCTTCCCATTCATTTTCTGAGGACTCTTTTTCTATCCTTTGTCTGCTGAATCTCTTCCCATTCATTGCCTGATGAATTTCTATCCATTCATTGTCTGATGAATCTTTTCCCATTCATTGTCTGATGACTCTCTTCCCATTCATTGTCTGATGAATCTCTTCCCATTCATTTTCTGATGAATCTCTTTCTATCCATTGTCTGATGAATCTCTTCCCATCCATTTTCTGATGACTCTCTTTCTATCCATTGTCTGATGAATCTCTTCCCATTCATTGTCTAATGAATCTCTTCCCATCAATTTTCTGATGAATCTCTTTCCATTCATTGTTATTAGCTCACCTGCCCGAAGGTCAAGTGAGCTTATGCCGTGGCGCAGTGTCCGTCGTCAACTTTTTCTTTAAAACCTTTCTCCTCCTAAATTCCAAAGAGGATTTCAACCAAATTTAGTCTGAAGCATCACTAGGGGAGGGCAATCATGTCTTAAATAAATGAGGTTGGTTCGACCCCTGGGGCCAGGGGGGCGGGGCCCTGAAGGGGAACTTAGCTAAATTTGCTTTAAAACTCGTCTACTTCTTAACGCCAGTGAGGATTTCAACCAAATTTAGTCTGAAGCATCACTAGGGGAGGGCAATCATTTCTTAAATAAATGAGGTTTGTTCGACCACTGAGGCCGAGGAGGGGGGGGGGGGCCTGAAGGGGAACTTAGCTAAATCTGCTTTAAAATGCATCTCCTCCTAAATGCCAGAGAAGATTTCAACCAAATTTGCTCTGAAACTTCATTTGGGAAGGGGAATCATTTCCTAAATAAATGAGACTTTTTCGACACCTGGGGCTAGGTCAAGACCGGGCCCAAAACAGGAAAACTATGTAATATTTTGCTTTAAGACCCTAATACCCCCTTATTGCCCGAGTGGATTGTACAGAATTAGGGCAAAAACATTATTGAGGAAGAACAAACATTTCTTAATTGAATGAGGTTGATTGGACCCCTGCGGTCCTAAGAAATGGTACAGCTAGATTATCATATTATTTGGTGTAGTTTTCATAAATTGTTAAAAATTGTTTTCTAGGTTTAAAAAAGCTTATAGTTGAATGAAAATTAAAGTATTGTCTAATTACACCCTGTAATATGACATATTACTTATTTCAAAATCTGTTAACATGGCAACTCAATGGAGGCCCCTGATTAGTTGAAAGTCAGATATTGTGGTCCCAGTTGAGTTAGAACATAGCTCTTGTCTGGTTTTGAGGAAATTTCATATAAAGATGTACTAATGCATTCAGTTGTAATGACTTAAATATAAAACCAGGTGAGCGATACAGGTCCAATAGACCTCTTGTATTTTTAGCTCACTGGGTCCGAAGGGCCAAGGTGAGCTTATGCCATACCATGGCATCCCTCTTCCGTCTGTCGTCTGTACGTCAACAATTTCTTCAAATGACTTCTTCTTAACCACTGATTGGAATTTAACTATATTTGACTGGAAGCATCCCTAGGTGGTAGGGATTCAAAATTGTACAAATGGTGGGACTGATCCCCCAGGGGGCTGAGGGGCAGGGCCAAAAGGGGGCAATTTGGCTATATTTCTTTAAGCAGCTTCTTCTCTGGAACTAAGAGATGGATATCAACCATATTTGACTGGAAACATCCCTAGGTGGTGGTGATTCAAATTTGTACAAATTGTGGGGCTGACCCCCAAGGATGCTGAGAAGCGGCCAAAAGGGGGTAATTTGGCTATATTGCTATAAACGACCTCTTCTGTAGAACAATGCACTGGAAATTAATCATATTTGGTTGGAAGCATTCATGGGAGGCAGGGATTCAAAATTGTACGAATGGTTGGGCTGACCCCCCCCCCCCCCCCCCCCCCCCCCCCCCCCCCCCTTGCAGACTTAACCCCTTGGTCATAACTTTGAATTGGTTGAGATCACCACCCCAAAACAATTTATGCAAATGCTGGGCATAAAGAGACAAACTCATTCATGATATTAGAATAGAAGCTGGAGTCTGGCCAAATCCCTAGGGACCTTGTTTCTGAGTCACAGCTTGCAAACAGTTGAGATCCTTACCCTATAACTGTATATACAATTGCTGAGTATAAAGAGGTGAATGCACATATGCTTCCAGGATGGCTCAGGGGTCTGCCCCCCCCTTGCAAACTTAACCCCTGGGTCATAACTTCGAAACAGTTCAGACCCCACCCCAAAACTATATATACAATTGTTGGGCATAAAGAGATGAATGCAGTCATGATACCAGAATTGACCCCGGGGTCTGCCCTACCCTTGTAGACCTAATCCCTGGGTCATAACTTTGAAACGGTTGAGATCCCCATCCCAAAACTATATATACAAATGTTGGGCATAAAGAGACAAATGCTGTCATGATATTAGAATTGACCCTGGGGTCTGCCTCAGCCTTGCAAACTTAACCCCTGGGTCATAACTTTGAAACGGTTGAGTTCCCCACCCCAAAACTATATATGCAAATGCTGGGCATAAAGAGACGAATGAAGTCATGCTATTAGAATTGACCCTGGGGTCTGGCCACAACACTAGGGACCTAGTGCTGGGCATGAACAATCTAATACACCTATGTTACAACGTTTGGTCTTAGGGTCTGGCCCATTCCTTTGGATCTTAATAGGAGAATATTTTGCCATGATTACTTAGATATCCAGGTGAGCAATACAGGCCCTCTGGGCTTCTTGTATTAGCTATAAGGCTTCTGAATGCTGGAAAATATCGATGTTTGATAGACATAGTTGCAAGGCTTAAGATCAGGTTAAGTAGGAGGGAATGTATATTTAAGGTTCAAGACAATTAACTTCAAATATACTGAATTTAATGGTTGTCTCAATAAAATTTCAACAAATCACAAAAAGTTATAAAATTGTCTTTTAAGGCTGCAAATAGTTCTGCACAGACAGATCATAGTGGAACCTCTGGTGTCCCTGACAAATCAGGTAAAACACCTGCCCCAGGGCAAAAGGTTCCTGATTCTGCATCAGAAAAAACAAAAAGTGAGAATGCAGCCAAAGTTTCGGCCACAACCAGAGCTCCAGTCACAACAAATGCTCCAGTTAAGGATGAAAACACATCTCGTCGGAGGAGAGCAACCAAAACAAAGCAGGTATGTTTTACTCCTTTTTTAGTTACGTATGTTCGTAGTAAAAGATCTAGAGATGGAGAAGGAAAAGTGTTACTTGACTTGTAAGTTGAATGGATTGCACCTTATATAATGTTCTGATAGTCTAACTAATACAGTTCTGCAATCGTGTCACTATCCATTTACCCCAGTGGGCCCATGAATCCTAAAGGTATTTTAACTATATTTGTNCCCCCCCCCCCCCCCCCCCCAAGTACCGGTACTAGTACCTGGTGTTTCCTACTATTAGCATAGGTTAGGGTTATGCCTGCAGCAAAACACTTGTTCTGAATGCTACATATAACAATCAAAGGTGGAAGTTGGCCAAAATTTTGAGAGATACTTCAATTGTTTTCTTGATGAAGGTTTAAAGATGATAGGAGAATCACTCAAGATGTTTTTGTGAATGTCCTTGTCCTGATTGGAGAGCTGTTGCTTGTTTGTGTTTGAATGTTGTTCAGATGAACTGTTCTCAGGTCAGGTTGTACTCAAACACCATAATGTTTTATAAATTGTTATGAAATCTCAAAAATCATAAAAATAATTTTAAATTCACTTCTTTAAATCTTGTAACATGATTGTTGTTGAAATTTGTTTTTAATACTCAATTCTGTTTTGTTTGAATTTTAACACTCATTGATTTACTCCTGTTTTGTTTGTTTAGCTCGAGTATAACTACAAAAAAAATTGTAATAGGTCTAATGTATATTGTTTGTTAATTTTGTGACCATTTTATTTTTAGCTCACCTGGCCCGAAGGGCCAAGTGAGCTTATCCTATGGTGCAGCGTCCGGCGTCCGACGTCCATCAATTTTTTCCTTTAAAACGCTACTAGTCCTGAACGGCTCAGAGGATTTTGACCAAATTTGGTCTGGAGCATCAATGGCCAAAGGGTTCTCAGTTTGGTATAAACGGAGGGTATGGCCCCCCTGGGGGCAGAGGGGCGGGGCCAAATAGGGGGGAAATAGGTAAATTTTTAAAAATCTTCTTTTCTCAACCAATAGAAGGATTTTGACCAAATTTGTTCTAGAGCATCTTTGGACAAAGGAGCCTCAAGTTTGTATAAACGGAGGGTGTGGCCTCTCTGGAGGCATAGGGGAGGGGCCCAAAAGGGGACAGAGGATTTTTTTTCTCCTACTATACAAGTGAAGGGATTTAAACCAAATGCAGTCTGAACTCTGAAGCATAATTAGGGACAAAAGAATCAATTTTGTTTAAACTGAGGTGTGTGGGCCCCCTTCTAGGGGCAGATGGGTGGGGCCCATTAGGGGAAATAGAGGAAAACATCAAAGATCCTTCTCCTTTTGTACCGATGAAGGGATTTTGACCTTATTTGGTCTGGAGCATCATTGGCCAAAGGGTTCTCAGTTTTGTATAAACGGAGGGTATGGACCCCCTGGGGGTAGCGGGGCAGGGCCAAATAGGGGGAAAATAGGTAAATCTTTAAAAATCTTCTTCTTCTCAACCAATAGAAGGATTTGGACCATATTTGTCCTAGAGCATCTTTGGACAAAGGAGATTCAAGTTTGTATAAAAGGAGGGTGTGGCCCCTCTGGGGGCGGAGGGGAGGGGCCCAACAGGGGAAATAGAGGAATTTTTTTCTCCTTCTATACAAGTGAAGGGATTTAAACCAAATGCAGTCTGAAGCATGATTAGGGACAAAAGAATCAATTTTGTATAAACTGAGGTGTATGGGCCCCCTTCTTTGGGGCAGATGGGTGGGGCCCATTAGGGGAAATAGAGGAAAACATCAAAGATCCTTCTCCTTTTGTACCAATGAAGGGAATTTGACCAAATTTGGTCTGGAGCATCATTGGCCAAAGGGTTCTCAGTTTTGTATAAACGGAGGGTATGGCCCCCCTGGGGGCAGAGGGGCGAGGCCAAATAGGGGGGAAATAGGTAAATCTTTAAAAATCTTCTTCTTCTCAACCAATAGAAGGATTTTGACCAAATTTGT